AATGTTCAGTAAGTCTGAAATGGTAGAAGAAGCCTTTTGTCAGGAGCAATCTATTCCCTTTTGTAAACCATTTATTTAGCTATATGGACTCATTTAAATGTTTTAGAGAGCTCTACAAGGTAGGGGAGCAAGGCATTCTGTGGATTGTTTTGGCCATTCTTCACCATTTAAGTTGTGAGCCTGAAGGCCTGTCCACATTGGAGAACAAGCAAACTGTAACACTACATGCATCTCTGCTTCTTTTGTCTTTCATCCTCTTTCTGGCTGACAGAGCTGCACATGACAAATAAACACACACGATTGAACCCAATTAGGTATAGCTGTCAGTCTTTCCCAATGGCCAGTCTAAGCTTGAATTTGCATTGCCAATGAGCTTCTGTCTGTCTAGGATGTGTTTGGAGAGTGCCAAATGTGGTCTGCATAATATCGTTCATAATCATTAATGCAACTCTTCAGTCATCCAACACTACAAAGAACTAAATATGTTTTGTACAGTACAAATGTACAGTATGTCCAGATTCTATTGCCAAGTGCAGTAAAATGGGATTGTCTGTTGTTACTAAAATGTGGTATTCTAGTCTTAATATAGCATATTACAGTTACCATGCAAGAATACCGATTAGACATGCTTGCCTGTAAAGGGAGCTGTCAGTGAAACACCAAGCAGGATAGTTTTGAATGCTAACTGAGTAACAACTATTGTGTTTCACCAGCGGGTTTCAGTAAATATAGATGGAAATAAAGTACTGCTCAGGATTTGAAATCTTCAAGCAAAACTTCAAGCAAGTTGTAAAATAGGAAAGATATGCAATTTTTTAGAACATTTCTTCTCCTGGTATATCAATGTATTTCACCCAGCATTGTTCTGGAGACCTTAGAAGACCATGAGTTTTAAAGGTTATTTTTAAACAAATGAATAGCACTTTTAATACTTTCCTCTATGATTGATAGAGCATGCATTATGCTTGCAGTGTTTTTCTAAATGACTAAAGCTTATTTAAAATCATGTTTGTAAAGTTTTTTTCTCATGCACTGTGCTGTTTACCAACACTCCTTTATTGTATTACATTTTGGAACTTGCACTATACATACATTCTTATCCACATTCTTTTTTCTTGACATTTGTAATATTATTTTTTTGTTTCAATGCAGTGTCTGAACCTCAATAAGTTTGTTGGCCATGCAGATGAGGACCAGTTGACACACCAAGCTCTGTATCTCCTTGAAGAAAACAAATTCTGGGCTGGACTCACCTTCCTAGACATGTACCCCTGGACTGACAAGCTCCCAGCACATCTAAAGTTTAAGATCCGCATGGATATCGATGCTGTGGAACGCACAAATAAAATCAAAGACAGGTAGCTCATTTAAACTGGTATTAAAGATGCAACCCATTTGAATAATAGGCTCCATCACTAGGAAGGTCAGTTGCATTTACGATTATCGCTTAATATACACTTTTGATTTTGTCATAGTCTTCTAGGTACTGAGAAAACATCAAGTGTTATCGAACTCTTACAAACACATGCATGAATATCTACAAAACATAACGCAAGCCTTACAGTAACCTGGAAGAATATGCCTTTTGATTTTTGCAGTTTTTCTTTCTTCAAAATATTTTTAAGAACATGTCGCCCACAGATACAAAACACAAAATAGCATCCCACTGAAATCATTCACAGAGTGAGAAGTACAACAGGTACAATATACACATGAAACATGATTAGAATGTCAATAAAAGAGACTTCCTGTGACTTCCTGTATAATCTAATACTGTTGCCAGTAAGGGAAAGGGAGGAACATACTAAGTAATTTAGCTCGTTATCTGATATTGAAATGATCTCACGATGCCAATTAACAGGTGCATCGAACCTTCTCTTCTCAGGAGCAATAAGAGGAACAACCCCCATTGTCCACTCAAAGCTCTTCCCCTTCTCCATTCGTTGCCCTTTGGCTATCCAAAACTGCTGCGTGAACAGTTCTGCTATTTAGAATTTCATATAACAGATGCTTTAAATGATAGAAAAAATATCTAACACAAACTGAGAAGATGAAACTTTAGCTTAAAACAGTTAGAAAATGCATTTCAGGTAGGTGGTATCATATTCTTTAATAAAAGTTCCGAGCCAAAGTACCAATCCCTTTGGGTAACTTTGTAATTATTTGTTCTGGATTATACTTCATGCAATTGAATACCACTAGCTATTATTATAGTCAGTTGCAGTAAGGAAGTAAGGTAGTAGTAATTGCAGTAAGTCATCTTTTTTGGTGTTATAGTCAAATATATTAAATTCAGGGATCCTGAAGACTTTTAAATTGCCCATGGAAAAGATATTGGATTAAAGAAGATTTTTGTGACAGGCCAGCGTTCCATAGATCCACACATACTTTTGTTTTAGTTCTTTCCAGGAAGACTATAGAGCAGGTGGGCCCAGATCCAGGCTTCCTCTCTTTCCATCTGCCATTAGCTTTGAGTCCGGGGGAGTGGAATCCCCCCCTGAGCTGCAGGGAGGTGATAACGTCTTTGCCATTGTCTCTAATCCTACTGCTGCTTCCTGTGCAGATACTGGGATCCTGGTCCAAGAGCAGACCCTGTAGAGGACCTGCGTTACATCTGGGGAGGCTTTGCGTATCTGCAGGATATGATTGAGCACGGCATTATCAAAAGCCAGACCAACAAAGATACATTGCTGGGGGTCTACGTACAGCAGATCCCCTATCCCTGTTATGTTGATGACCTGTGAGTGAAAAGATCTCCTTTGTTGGAAAATTGTGCATCTTTATTTTAAGTTTTGAACTCATGGTGTGATCCATAATAACTCTGCTACTAATCTATTGTGTCAGAAAAGGATTAGGGTCATTTTTGAATCAAAATAATCCCTTATTTAAAATATTAATCATCACTACAACTTGTATTGCATCTGTAGTTACCACTTATAACAGATTGACTTAACGTTCAATCCAAAACCCCCCAGAATAATAACTTATTAAAGTATTAAAATGAATGCGGCTCCTGCAATTTCTTGTTAAAGAGGCAATATTAAAATAAATGTGAGATTTGATTCTTGTAAAACTTAAGTTGGGAAAAAAACTTTACCATCTTAGACATCTTTTCCTTGCGAAATATTCACCCTTATCTGTGGCCTTGTGTCCTCCTCCATGACAGCTTCATGTTGACTCTGAATCGCTGCTTCCCCATCTTCATGGTGCTCGCCTGGATCTACTCTGTGTCCATGACAGTGAAGGGTATAGTGTTAGAGAAGGAGCTGAGACTCAAGGACACTCTGAAGACCATGGGCGTGTCAAATGGCGTCATCTGGTGCACCTGGTTTATAGACAGCTTCATTATGATGGCTGCCAGCACCACTCTTCTCACTATCATCATCATGGTAAGAGCCTAGTCAGACTAGTCAACCGATGAATAAATGACAGACTGAGATTTTGCTCCCTCTTCTTGAGACAGAACTGAGGTAATACTGTATACCAGTATATAAAGGTCAAATTACACCAGGATGAATCATGCTTTATACAAATACTAAAAAGAGTTTGATCATTTTTAAAGACATATTTATCCGTATTTGTGGTAAGCCTATTGTACCATCTTATTCCTTGTAAGGGTCAGAAAAACCTAGAGTCTACCGTAGAATCAGGCTCTAAAATGGGACATAACTTTGGATGGGATACCAGTCCATGTGTTTAGAAGGATACAAAAACAGAACATCTGGAGAAAGCCTACACAGATATGAGGGAACATCCAATCTCAATAAAGAAAGCAATCTAGTCATAAACTGGCCCAAGAATAATGAAGTAGTATCTCTAATTAGCATACTTCTTTGGCACCCCTGACCTATACATATGTATGCTACTTCCTTTGATGTGATATTTGAGAGATTATAATAGAATTAACTATTTCAGATACTACTGTAAATCCATCCATCTTGCTATACTTGACTTTTTATGCTCAAAAGGGCAGAATGAGAAGTCATAAGGCAGTTCCATGTCTTCTGGTTTTGTGATTGGATGAGAGATAATTAATATTTATAACCTAAACTAATTGGGACTGTATATTTTTAATGATAGCGTAACCTTAACCACTTCAGAAAGGGTGTTATTTCTAAATATCTACGATGCCCCCAGATGTATTCATACCCTCTATTAAAATAGGAACAGAAAAATAATGTAAAAGCATGGGTAATGGATTTCATTGCTTAAAATAATTACAATAATATTACACAAATCAAAATAATGCAAAGAGCATAATTATATTTTTTCATAAATAACTGACTTCTAGAAAACAGAATAATCACATTTATTCCCACATCAAAAGTACTCTTTTTATATAGACTCCAACAAAAAAATCTACAGTAACATTTGGCTCTTTGGAAGTGGAACTGTAGAGGCCTCTGAAGGTTTCCTGTTTCCCCCTAGGTATTCTGTAGCAGCATATGTCATCATGTTTATGGACAGAAAGCCCTCTGAAGAAAGCAGGAAAATGGATCTTGTCTTCCACAAGTTAGGGGGAGGCGCTATAAATTGATCCAAAAAAATAGATCAGTCTACCACTTTCCACCATGGTGTCCGAATTTAAGACATTTAAGGCTACTAGTATAGTGGTCATCCTGCTAAGAACAGACACAAGTGTATCTTGCCATCACGAGCACTGAGATAGTTTAGGAGGCAACTACAGTATAAATCCAAATTTAGCAGTGTGAGATCTCCAGCACTACTTAGCCTTTTTTATAACACATACTGTTGCAAAATACCACTTTACCTCACCTATGTGAATGAGGCAATGACTGTAGAGACTGAAAATAAGCTTTTCTGAGAATTAAGCACAAAAATTAGTTACTTTGAACTTGAACTATATCTGAGTGACAATTGGAACCATGTCTTATAGTCAGGTGAAACAACAATTGAACTTTTTGGACATTTTATACTTGGTGTAATAAAGGAGAAATATGGTAGGGGAGTCAGGTGTGTTTTGGATTTGTTTAGCATTTTACAGGTCCTGAAGCTCTTGTTGAGAAAGGGGAAATCATGAACTCCCAGGACATTTTGACTAGACATCTGGTTGTCCCTGACAAGAAGTTTGGCTGGAAAAAAAAAACTGACAAAAAGAAAAAATGTTAGCTGCACACAAAATATTCTCAAATGACAATCTCTAGACCTCAATCAAATCTTTGGTTCAAACTCCAGAAGCCAGTCCACAAACAGAAACTAAAGGATCTACAGAAACTAGACAAATTCTATCTGAATGGTCAGAATTTACACCCCAGAATAGCACTCATTGCACACTAAAGGAGGCATAGTGTCAGTTTAACCCATACCAGAGGAGAGTTTACTTAACACTGACCACAGATGTGTGAATTAATCTGAACCTCTGGTCTTATTTATTCGTGACAAGTATGAATTTGCTTTGTGCAGCACTATTACTGTATGGTTTTTTTTTAATCAAGAAATGTAATCCAATTCATTACCTTTTTTTTATATGATGTGTTTTGTTCCTATTTTATTATGAGTATGAATAAACCTAACGGACACTCAATGTAACTTGTTCTGGAGAATTTCTAAAATGGAGCATATTACAATGGAACATATAGATGTAAGAAAACTATACTCATCTCCTTACTAATGAACACACCATTATAGTGTTATTATAATTTTTATTACATAAGCTAATGCACTAAATAACTTACTTTGCATTCTATACTAAGCATCAAAGAAACACAACTACAACAAATAAACAGGATTATTGAAAACAATATAGCTGTGGAGTGATATTTTATTGTATGGGTTTGACATAAGTAAATTAATTTAGCTAATTATTATTTGTCATCAACCATATTGAAAACAATAGCGTCTCCAACAATATAAGCTGTACAACTGTGATTCATGCTTGGCACCAGGATGCAATTTTGTCTTATGTGAATCTGTCTGATTCCTTTCGTAAAGCTGGACAAGCTTGTGACTAATCGCTAATCTCTGAGTTCTAGATGCCACACTGCATTACAGATTTTCACAAAAATGTAAATGTTGGTGAGCTGGGCATCCACAACATAACTGTTACTTTCTCACTTTGCACAAAAGGCGTTGTTACTGTTCATGAGCGGCACATGGACATGTGTTGTCCAGTTGGAATATTGCCATGTCAAGAGGTGCCCATAGGAAGCAAATAAGGTCCCAGTACTTGATCATTGTAACATTGTGTAGTCATGTTACTGTGCAAGTGGGAGTGCGTAGCAGCTAGATAGTTCAGATCATAACATTTGGACCTGCCCATCGATTATTTCAGTACAGCTGTGCCATACCATACTCATTAATGTCCATCAGGGATGAACCAGCTAAGATTCATCGTTAAAGACTACTTGTTTTCTCTCTTGATGACCCTATCTGAGGTGTTGCTTGAACAAACCCATGGCAAAACAAAACTTCTTTTCTGTATAAGCAGAGCAGCCCTTTTCTGTGTTAATATTTCTTGATTTTCACAAGGTTTGAGATTCAGCTGGTTCAGTCACCTCATCACCTGTATCCATCCTCACTGACAAGGTGATATAGTGCTTATGAAACAGTGCTTATCATTGTCAGTCATAAATCA